AACTTACAATGCACAGCTGTGTGTGTCCCTTATATGGCAGAAACCTACAGCCAGTTTTAAATTGGTGTAGCAACTGACCCTTCAACTTAACCAACAACCTGCTCAAGCTGTAAATTGGGCTTACAGACAGGGAACAAAAGATCTGAATTTAGCAAACTTTGCATAAAAAACGTACATCTATTTCAGTTACAGCTCCCCTGAGTTTAAAAATCAATGAGTTTAAAAAACAATCTAATATTACTTCATGAATGCATAGATAAATTTCCCATCCCTCAGTCCCCGATACTGCGGCGAGAGTTCGGGCATCCCTCCTCTCCCTCTTCTCTCCCTGTTGTTCTTCACCCTTGATTTCACTTGACAGGGAAGAAACGGAAGATAAAGACACGTTAGAAAGCAAAAACTCAACCCTCCCCACACAAACACTCCACCATGTTCCCTTGGGACCCTGCAGCAAAGTCCTCGACAGCGTCGTGGTCCTCTTCAGCTGATGTACTGTACTATACTTGGGCTTGATTACGATACGCTGTAGCTAAAACTGCTTTTTGCAGTGTCAGAATCATCAGCGATGAGAGGCAGAAAGGGGTTTTCTAGTGTCTCAGAACCCAGGCCCTCTGAATTGCTGGGACTTTGGGAAGTTGGCTGATGTCCACCAGTGGTGAGATGAAAACACCTCTGAACTTTTCCTTACAGTCCAGCTGTGGGAGTTCCACAAGCACAAAGTTTCCAGTGCCACACAGATGGGCTAGGGCACATCGCACACAACACTCTGACCAGGAGAGCTCATCTCATGCACGCTGCTTCAGGCTCCAATACTTTCTCAGTACAACCTACTACTTTAAATTGTATGGAACAGAATGGTAGCACTGGACCAGTACAGTTACAACACTGGTATTTGTATTGTAATCACGTGGGCAGGCCTTGAGCAAAAACCCAGAGAGGTGCCCCTTTGCAGGTCCCTGTTTCCCCGGTCCCACTCCAGTCTGGACTAAGTCTGGTTCAAGCGTCTGTTACCGTTGTGAGAGTAACAATTCTGCAACTCTGTTCCTCTGTTTGCCCAGGAGGGCAGCGGTTGATTTTGCTTTTAATGCCAGTATCTTCTGTGCATTTGAGTGATCAGGATCAGACCCTAATCAGAACAGTTGCGGTTGTAGCCTTAAAAGGCGAACACTAGCAAGCCACTGCATGTTCTTACAAAGAGGCTTTAACTAGCACATCTCAATATTCCATTGCTGCGTCTATATCTAAAGTTTTAGAATTAATAACAACAACAATATTTTAACCACATGATACTATTTCCTGGTACTAGTGAAGGCAACTGACCGACTTACAATCACCCTGGCTGCCAGGGACTCATGGAATTACATCAATTGCCCTTTCCTCAGCCACGGCCCAGCCTGTGGGTCCAGGGCCCGCTGCAAAACTTCTCAACTGTAGTCAAAGGATTTGCAGAAGTACACTGTTGTCCCTCCTTCATACAACCGTCAGATGTCCCAGCTCAGATCCTTCACAAAAGCCAGTCCTGCTACAGTCGTTTCCACCAGCCCTGATTCTCCCAGGGAGGGAGGCTCTTACTATAAGAAGGCAGATCAACTTACTACACCATGCAGTCCGTTTCTAATCAAATTAACTCAGAAAGTGACAAGTCCTCGCTGTGTTAAAATGACGACTCACTCTGTCCCATTGACACAGTAAAGTGTTCATTATGAAGCATCACAGACTGAAAACAGACAATGAGACAGAAGAAAGCTCTGGAGAAATCTTATGGGCTTTTTATCTATTAATAAAGGATAAAAAACTAAGGTTTACTCTTGTTGCAGGAATCTGGTAACATCCTAAACCTGACTGATACTGGAAGTGCTAACAGACACACAGAACTGTGACACTGAGAGAAATCTGGTCCTGAGGCTGTTTTCCACTCCGACACTGAAGACACAGATAACAGAGCCTGGCCAGCTCTCACCTGACACCCCAGACTGTC